AAACACCCTGCAAAGTTTTAAATCTGAAAGTGCACCGTGTATAAAGTTATTGTCTCTCAAAAGAAAGAGTCGACTCTGAATCATTTAAACGAGTCGTTTTTAAAACGAATCCCAAGCCGTTTCATGTTGACGTCAACGTGAAACATTAGCATATTGCCCGCCCACTTCTTAGTCTTCTCGTGTTGGTCTGAATGAAAATGCAAATTCATTCTTCGCCACTAGATGTCGCTTCTGGAGCGGTAAAAATAGCGGTTTCCACGGTAACGCTGTACACAAAGCAGCACTGCGCTCACAAACACTGCTTTATCAGGCTTTACAGGCGAGATCCAATCAGACCAATCACCGCAGATTAGCAAGTAAGGTAAAAATAAATGCATATTATAAGACAAAGTGTTTTTTGACCTTGCATGCATGTCAACCTGTTGTTGGGGACTCCCAAAACCAAAATATGAACCTTTCATAACCCATAATGGGGGCACTTTAACGCCCAAAAAAGCATGTCTTAAAGCAGACGGTAATTTGCGATGCTCTTGGAAGATCACGCTGGTCATTATGGTTTGTTAGTAAATCACCCGCAGAATTTCCCCTCCCATCGGTGCTTTTATGCAATTGCGATCTAACGCTAATGTGCCCTGTTTAGTAAATCCAGCCCTATAAAGTAAGACAGCAGCTGTGTATCGTACTTTGCGAGCGAGGGAGAGCAGCATCTCGTCGGAGAACATCTTGAAGTCGGTGTACTGGCCCAGCGAGCGGCGATGCAGCTGGTTATTGATCAGGCTGTAGTGAACGAGTCCTCCTCGTCTGGAGAAGCGCTGAGGAACCTCCTGCAGGAGCCGCTGCAGGTCGATGGAGGGGAAGGAGATGAAGTCCTGCTGGATCTGCGGCTCCTGCTCGGGACACTGCAGAGCGCTCCTCCAGACGTGCGGATGCCGCTCGGGACACACACAGTACTCGTGATACACCGGACCTGACAGAGACACAACAACAGGCCTGATTACACACAACATCTGAGAAAAGAGTCTGTGTCTTTGAGTAAGCACAGTACTCATCATGGAAATAATCTACTTTAAAATAATTCACCTGAGCAAGAACTAGATGCGATGACTTAAATGCAATTAGCTAAAGTTTAAAGTGCTTTGTTGATCCACTTAAGACAAATAATGCAGTTTCATAGTAGTGCTGTCAAACGATTAATCATGCAAAATGCATGCAAAATAAAAGTTTTTGTTTACGTAATATGTGTGTACTGTGTATATTTAAATACACACATACAGTATATATCTTGAAAATATTTACATGTATGTATTTATATTCATATAATTTATATTATATATAGATATATTTAATATAAGTGACCCTGGAGCACAAAACCAGTCATAAGGGTCAATTTTTTGAAATTGAGATTTATGCATAATCTGAAAGCTGAATAAATAAGCTTTCCATTGATGCATTGTTAGGATAGGACAATATTTGGCCGAGATACAACTATTTGAAAATCTGTAATCTGAGGGTGCAAAAAAATCGAAATATTGAGAAAATCGCCTTTAAAGTTGTCCAAATGAAGTTCTTAGCAAAGCATACAATGTATTGTTGGCTATTGCTACAAATATACCCCAGCGACTTAACACTGCTTTTGTGCTGCAGGGTCACAAATAAACATAACATATTTTTCTGAAATGTATACATGCATGTGTGTGTATTTATATATATACATAAGTACATACACATATATTATGTAAACAAAAACTCTAAACTCGATTCATCGTTTTTAAACAGCACTATTTCATAGTTACTTCTATTGTGTTTGAAACCTGGTTAAAGTACTGACAAGCATTTATGATGAACTAAAATATATATTTAATGCCACTTCTGTTGAACCGTGTAAGTCTTGCATTTAAATATATTTGTAATTACACATTAATATTGAAGTTGCAATTTAGTGCATTTAAAATATTGTAACTTAACATGCCAAATCAAGCACCAGTTATGATTATAATCAAGTGCTTTACATGTGCTTCAGTGTGTTACTTCAAGTGTACTTCTTTAAAATGCAACAGATGATTATTAAAATTAACTTTAGAGTAAAACGGTTTGGCGTTATTATAAAGTGAACCTTTTAAAGTTAAAAACAGCCATGAGAAAGTGCACTCTAACTGCCCTTTTATTTCTTTAAAGAGTCATGAAACCCTAAAAATCTTTTTTTCTAGATGCTAACAGATATGTACAGTTTGCACATCAATGAAAAGAACAATAGCACTCATTATGTTTATTATTAATATTAGGGGAAAATTTGTTCTTTTTTCATTTTTTGGAGGCATTTTCTTCTTCTGGATTATATCTGCAAGTACAGTTTTTTTTTAAATATATATATTTCTAAGTACTTTTAATCACACTACATACAAGTGCACAATTAATACTTGCACATCTTTTTCACAAGGGTATGTTTGCTATTTAAAGAAAACGTCTTATATGTGATCGCACTACATGTGTGAAGGCAAAACATACACATACACCATATCTATCAATGTTAGAAAAAACTGAACAGATATGAGAAAGAATCCCTTTACCCCGAAGAGTGTATGGAGAGTCTGCCACAGGCTTGTCTTGATACAAGACTTCAATCTTTAGACCCTTCGAGGAGCTTCCATAGAGTCTGTATCTGACCAGAAGAGAGCCGTCGCCTCGATCTAAAGGAGCTGGGACATGAACACGAACATACTGCTGCTCCAGAGACGATATCTTCACTCTGAACGAGTCTGCAGCTGAAACCAGCAGAACACAAACCACTGACACCAGACCCACATAAACACTGCTAACACTCAGTCTGCATGAGGCGAGTGAACGCTACATATTTTACTACAGACTGAAGAACAAACAAACAGCAGCTAAAGTCTGATCATCCGTAATAAAAACAGTCATAAACAGCAGAACCTACATTTGAGCATTTGGATAAAAGCGTCTGATAAATGACTAAATAAATGAATAAATATATATATATCTTGTCCCTGAAATACATTTTTAATTATTATTTATATCTTTTATTTATTATTTGTATATGAGGGTTGAAACTAAATATATTTTCTATTTTAAAAATATACTTCATTGAGCTTCACATATATTTGGCATATTTCGGAGACAAAAGAAGAAGTATATTTTTCCGCATGGGTATGTGTGAGTGTTTGGTTCTCACCGGGAGACACGCTGATGTTGCGTCCCTCTGAGTCCACGCTCTGGATGTAGAAATATCTGACCGGAAGTACAGCAGCAGGACTCAGTCCAGGTCCCCAAACCACACATTTCCCCGCATCGATCTCTGCACTCCCGCTAAACCCCACGCTTACACACACTGCAGCGATGAGCGAGGCGAGGACAACATGAGGCACATTCGAGCGAGCGTTTCTGAGCTTTAGATGGGGGACCATTTTCACTGCGGCTCCTGTCGAACAGAGCAACGCGGGACTGAACAAACATTCAATTACAGCTAAAGTTCGCTGCAGAACTGCTAATGATTTATTGGCATAATTAATACAGACGTGTTTTTCTGTTTCGAGCGTTATAGACCGGGACTTGTTGCGTTAAAGTAGAAGATAACACGTTAAGAAATAATTAGGGTGGATTTTGAGTGTGGCGCTTGTGCTGCGGTGCGCCTCAAAAATAAATCCGGCGAGATTCAAAAGGTGTTCAATAGTTCCGGATCTTCTGTTTCGAATCAGTGAGTCGGAGTTGATTCATTTCGATGATTCGTGAACAGTGATGCTTGGTCAGTTTTACAATTTAGGTTTATTTTTAAATAATTTTAATAGTTATGCGTGAATAACACAAAGAAAGGATGACACTTATTTATAACCTAGTTTGCCAAGTCCCGCCGAATAACACACAAAACAAGGACTAGAAAATAAAAAACACTAATTCTACAGAACCGTCATGTTTAATTAATGGTATTTAATTATTTGTAGGTTTATTTAATATGTTACACTTTCATGAAAACATTTATAGCCTAGTTTGTAAAAGGCGTCATCATTATACATAACCATATAAAATACATGTCGCCTATGTATTTGTTTTTTTCATTGTTTTTATATGGTTTTGAGCAGCTGGTTTAATTTGTTAATTTAATTCCGAGCTTCTTTGTGTTCCATCAAGTTCATAATGTAATGCAATTATTTTAATGGTGCTTAATGAAAAAATGCATGTGCCTATCTTTTATTTATTTGTATTTTAGAAAATGTTATTTTATTTTACAGGTAAAATGTGGACTGGACACATTCTTGACATTTTCCTTATTAGGTGAGAAATGCACTGCTTCATCAGTCTTTTTTCATGAATTGTGAAAAGTTGTGTATTTTTAAACTCTGCTCAAAGCTGAAAAGTTCTCAAACATTACAAGAAATAAAGTCTTTATTTATTATGCTCACAGTAAAACAACTGTAGCAAAATATATCCATTTTTCAGTAAATAATTAAAATAATGTATATTTTAAATTGTTTATATTTTAGAATTATTTACAATATCACAGTTGGTTTAGATGAATATTACAAACTGGTTACTAACAAAAACATTGTCCTCCATCAATTACATTCACATTTTTTTGTAATGACAGTAAAGTGCACAGAACATATGTGACCCTGGAGCACAAAAACAGTCATAAGGGTCCATTTTTTGAAATTGAGATTTGTGCATCATCTGAAAGCTGAATAAATAAGCTTTCCATTGATGTATGGTTTGTTAGGATAGGACAATATTTGGCTGAGATACAACTATTTGAAAATCTGGAATCTGAGGGTGCAAAAAAATCTAAATATTGAGAAAATCATCTTTAAAGTTGTTCAAATTAAGTTTTTAGCAATGCATATTACTAATCAAAAATTAAGTTTTGATATATTTACGGTAGGATATTTACAAAATATCTTCATGGAACATGATCTTTACTTAATATCCTAATGATTTTTGGCATAAAAGAGAAATCTATAATTTTGACCCATACAATGTATTGTTGGCTATTGCTACAAATATACCCCAGCGACTTAACACTGCTTTTGTGCTGCAGGGACACAGATATAAAAGCTGAGTTGCTGGGAGAATGATCAGAAGCCTCTCCAGTCGGAGTAGATGCGGCGGTTCTCTGCCAGCCACTGAACGAAGAGACTGACGCGAGCGTACGCTCCGGGCCGCTGCGGTCGAGCACAGCCGATGCCAAACGACGTGACGCCGACCAGAACCCAACCAGCGGCCTCTTCACACATCAGCGGCCCGCCAGAGTCCCCCTGACACACAATAACACAGAAAAACACCTTTCAATGATGCTCAAGTTCAGGATCGGTGCACGTTTTAATGATTCTTAAAAGACGTTTCTTCTGCTCATCAAGACTGCATTTATTTGATTAAAAATACAGAAAAAAATAGTAATATTGTGAAATATTATTGCAGTTTAAAAATCAGTTTTCTGTGTGAATCTCTGTTAAACTGTAATGTATTTCTGTGATCACAGCTGTATTTTCAGCATCATTACTCCAGTCTTCAGTGTCACATGATCTTCAGAAATCAGTATAATATGCTGATTTATTATCAGTTCTGGAAACTGCTTAATACATTTTTGGAATTCAGAATTCTTTGATTAAAGGTTAAAAAGCACAGCATTTATTCTAAATAGAAATCTTTTGTGACAATGTAAGTCTTTACTATCACTTTTACTATCAAATTTAGCACATCCTTGCTGAATAAAAGTATGTTTCTTTCAACAAAAAAAAATGTTTAAACTTTCAACGGTATAGTTTTGAATAAATGCTGTTCTTATCAACTTTTTATTCATCTGTTAAAAAGTATCACAAGTTTCACATCATTGATAAATCAAAATTATTTTTGAAGGATCATGTGACACGGAATATGGTTGTTGAGAATTCAGCTTTGATCACAGGAATAAATCATATTTAATAATTTAGATAATAAATAATTTTAAAGCATATCAAAACAGAAACCGTTATTGTAATTATATTTCACAATATTACTGTTGCTGGCGTTTTTTTTTGTTGTTGTTGTTTTTTTCAAAAAGATGAGCAGTAGAGACTTCTTTTAAAAAATAAAAAAAATTAAAATCTTACGGATCCCAAACTTGTGAACAGCAGTGTATATATATATATATATATATATATTTATTTATTTTTTCAAGCAGGTTACAGGCTAATATATTTCTCAGATCTGGCACATGTGGATTTTATCACTCAAAAAATTGTATAATTTACAGTGACAAACTGTAATTTGACATTCCCAGAATTCCCTGCATGACACTTCATATTTGATGTTCTTTCACTGAAATAACTGTAAAAAAAAAAGTGAACAGACAAGAAAGTAGAAGGAAAAATGAGGAATAAGTGCATTACAATGATTCAAAACAGATATTAGTACTTCAATATGTTGGTTTATTAACATTACATCAGTTAATGAAATACAGTATTTTATTGTGAATTTAAGCTAAGCCTGTAAAACCTAAAATGTTGCTACCAAATTTTTTACGGTGAAGTTCTGGCAACCACAGCTGCCGGTATTTTACCGTAAATGTCACAGATTTTTTTTTTTACAGTGTAATCCTATGTAAGTGTACAGTACACACCTGACAGGAGTCCACTCCTCCTTCAGCGAAGCCGGCGCACAGCATTCGCTCGGTGAAGTTGTACTCCGGAAGCCATTCCTGACACTGTTTGTTGCTTAAAAGCGGCACAACGGCTTCCTGTAACACATCGGCTCTGGAGCCTACACATCAACAACACTCCGCTTACACACAACCACCAGAAACATTACAGACTCAAATCTCTGTGTGCATCAGAAAAACTCTGTGTTTGTGTCTATCTGACCATCTTCAGCCGTCAGTCCCCAGCCAGCAATAACACACTCTCTCCCTTCTTCAATCTCAGCTCCGGGATCTGGGAGGCAGATGGGCTGCACGTAATCTGGAAGATAATAATCCACTTCTATTGGTTGCATTTTCTTTTTAATGCTTGGCAGATCATTTCTTATTATGCACAATCAGTGCACTGAAAAATGTTCAAAATCAATCCCACAAAGAAATGTTCAGGTGAGATTTCACTCAGAATCTAAAGGGGAAAAGTGTTTAAATGTCATGAAAATAACATCACAACATCATAAAGGGGGGCCAAAAATTGGCTTGATTTTCTTTATGCAAATAAATGAAGTTGCATACTAATTGCACCAATTACTTTCATGTGCAAAATGAGTAAATCGTGGATGAAAAAGTATAGCCTGCATACTGTATACACTACCATTCTAATATTGCATTTTAAACACTATTTTAACAGATTTTAATGTATTTCTGTGATGCGCAGCTGTATTTTCAGCATCATTACTCCAGTCTTCAGTGTCACATGATCTTCAGAAATCATTCTAATATGCTGATTTGCTGCTCAAGAAACATTTCTGATTATTATCAATGTTGAAAACAGTTGTGCTGCACAATATTTTTGTGGAAACCGTGATGCATTTTATTTTTCAGGATTCACAGATAAACAAAAAGTAAAAAAAACATAATTTATTTAAAATAGAAATCTTTTGCAACATTGTAAATCTCTGTCACTTTCAATTTAATGCATCCTTGCTGAATAAAAGTATTAATTTCTTTGAAACAAATACATCTGTTGAATGGTAGTGTAAGGTATGACCACAATGGCATTCACGACTGAAAACTTTTGCACGATTGTTGTATTGGAAACAAACAAATTACATAAATGTGACCCTGGACCAAAAAAACGGTTATGTGTAAATTTCTTAAAATTGAGATTTGAATAAATAATCCTTCCATTAATGTATGGTTTGTTAGGATAGGACAATATTTGGATGAGATACAACTAATTGACAATCTGGAATGCATATTACTAATCAAAAATTAAGTTTTGATATATTTACGGTAGGAAATTTACAAAATATCTTCATGGAACATGATCTTTACTTAATATCCTAATGATTTTTGGCATAAAAGAAAAATGTATAATTTTGACCCATACAATGTATTGTTGGCTATTGCTACAGATATACCCCAGCGATTTAACACTGCTTTTGTGCTGCAGGGTCACAAATGTACCTTTAGCATGCCTGTAAAATGAAAAACATAGTAAAATACAACATTTGTAGAAACAAGTTTTGCCTGAGTACCTGTGAAGTTGGCAGGCGTCTGTAAGTGCATCAGAGCAAAGTCCGACTCCTTGGTTCTTCTGTTATAGCGCTGGTGCATGATCACGCGGTCGATCAGATGTGTTTGTCTGCCGGGGTTATCCGAGCCGAACTGAGAGTGAAGACCCAGCACCGCCGCCCAGTTTGACAGGTGCACGTTCTTTCTACAGGATCAAACCTCTTTCAGTTTCTCAGTGAGCTTGTGTTTTACAGTCAGCAGTGATACTTTTAAAAGTAATGCATTACAATGTAACGTTACTCCCTAAAAATGTAACTAATTACGTTACTTAGTTACTTTTTATGCAAAGTAATGCGCTATGTTACATTTGCGTTACTTTTTAAATCTGGACAGGGCTTGCTTGTTTGTTTTTAAAATAAAAAGTTCTATTTTTAGCAAATGTAAAAGCCCCTTAACACCAAAAAGTGAAAGGAATAAGCCTCAGGCTGAAGGGAAAGTAAATTCAGGTCTGTACAGTAGAATGCATCACTGCAAAAAATGCTTTTCTTACTTAGATTTTTTGTCTTGTTTCCAACCAAAATATCAAAAAATTCTTAAATCAAGAAAGATTTTCTAGACAAGTAAAAATTATTGTCTTGTTTTCAGAAAAAAAACATGTAAAAATTAAGTGAGTTTTTGCTTGAAACAAGCAAAATAATCTTATTTCAAACAGAAAACAAGATTATTTTGCTTACCCCATTAGCAGATTATTTTGCTTGTTTCAAGCAAAAACTCACTTAATTGTGATTCTTTTTTTCTGAAAACAAAACAATAATTTTTACTTGTCTAGAAAATCTTTCTTGATTTAAGAATATTTAGATATTTTGGCTGGAAACAAGAAAAGTAAGAAAAGCATTTTTTGCAGTGCAGAAGAAGAAACACTCCTTAGCAAAAAAAAACAACAAAGCACAAATGTTAGTTTATCTAAAGTAATTTTTGCTCATTAGTATGGCTGAACTGAACAAGACACTGGTTAACAAAATGGGATTAAACACATAAAGCATATTTGTGTTATTTAACATATTTAATTATTGCAGGTTTGAGTCATATTCTAAATGTGCATTTCACTGTTTTAATTCATTTTGATGAATACTGAATGTGTTTTTGTGCAGGTGAGATGAGTAAACACATGTTCATATTTAGTCTAGAGCTACAGTAACATCACAGCACTCTGCACTTGCTCCTGATTTCTCTCAACATGAGGACTGGAGACTTGTGAGTCAATGCATGGGAAACAAAGTTACTAATTTAAAAAGTAACAGATATTTTCTTGTAAATTTAAAAGTAATGCGTTACTTTACAAGGTACTTGAAAAAAAGTAATCCGATTACGTAACTCGCGTTACTTGTAATGCGTTACCCCCAACACTGATGATCAATACCGTATACACTGCTTACCCATAAACACAGTGTGCTGCTGTGATCAGCCATTCGCTGTCAATCAAAGTGGCTCCGCACACGTGACCGCCCAACCAGCGCAGAGATGCTATCCATGGCCACGCCCCTTTCTGAGCATCCTGACCGCCCACCACTCGGCCCGCCTTGTTTCCGTTTCTAGTCTCACTGTTTAAGGGGACTTTACGGGCGCCACATGCTGTAAACAACAAGAGATGCTGGACTTCTGCTGATTTTGAGACTGAATGAAGCCGAGCTGCGGGTTTCAAACTTACGCTGATTGTTGCAGAGCAGCGACACGATCTTCCCGCCGAGGCACGTGTCACTTTAAAAAGACACAAAAGAATCTGAGATTTTATAGGCCAATAAAAGTGTTTTTATTTTTCATCAAATGTATTATTTCAGTGATTACCTGGGTTTCAGATCCAGAGAGCCGTTAGTATTCACACTTACAGTAGTAAAGGGAGCATCTCCATCCGTAATGCTGGAGAACGAAGCATCTCCTGACCTACAGACATCACAGTACACTTTTCACACTGTTCCCCGACAAGCTATTTTAAGCTTAGCCCTATAAAGCTACTGTATCATATTTAATACACACATTTCTAAAGCCTTTAGATTATCATTAAGATCAAAACATTTGTTTCTGCCACTAAATGCAAAATTGAATAAAAGGCAATTGTGACTTTTTAGCTCACTATTCTGACTTTTTGTCTTGCAATTCTTGCGAAAAATACAAATAAAGAAAGTCTATTTTCTTACAATTGCAGGTTTATATCTCGCAATTCTGAGGGGAAAATCAGAATTGCAAGAAAGAAAAAAAAGTCGTGAATTAATAAAGCCGTATTGTGAAATAAAATAAAAAAGAGTTGCAATTACCAGTTTTATTTTTTATTCAGTGTTGGAAACTAGCTTCCATTCCTCTGTCGTCTGATGGATAGTTTATACTTTTTTAGCAAGTAAAAGGCCTTGTAGTTTAATTTGAAGAATTGCCTCTTTCTGCTGTGAAATCTTTACTGATTTTCATAAAGTATATTGTTTCATATATTTAAAGCTGAACATTTCTTAGACTAAAGCAACTAAGGTTTAGACATTGCATTGCATTATATGTTTTCCCCCCACAATAAAAACTACAGAGCTTTGATCATAAAACTAAACATTTAAATCTCATCTTACTAAGGCATATTACTGGAGTGATGACTGATATTTATCATAAAGATCTCATTGATTTACAAGCTCAGGATTTCATCTTAAGATTTGTCCATATATAAATATCAGCATTTTTGCAGTTTTGCTCAGTTTGAGCCTGTATATAAAACCGAGCTGTTCTTTCCTCATGTATGAGCTCCATATTCTCACTGCGTCATATTATAAGTGAGCCTGCAGCACAAAAGCAGTCTCAAGTCGCTGGGGTATATTTGTAGCAATAGCCAACAATACATTGTATGGGTCAAAATTATAGATTTCTCTTTTATGCCAAAAATCATTAGGATATTAAGTAAAGATCATGTTCCATGAAGATATTTTGTAAATGTCCTACCGTAAATATATCAAAACTTAATTTTTGATTAGTAATATGCATTGCTAAGAACTTCATCTGAACAACTTTAAAGATGATTTTCTCAATATTTAGATTTTTTTGCACCCTCAGATCCAGATTTTCAAATAGTTGTATCTCAGCCAAATATTGTCCTCTCCTAACAAACCATACATCAATGGAAAGATTATTTATTCAGCTCTAAGATATTAAAAAATTGACCCTTATGACTGGTTTTGTGCTCCAGGGTCACATATGAGAAATATAATCCTGATGAATCAAGTATGCTACTCAACAAAAACACATATGCATCTTTTTTATTTATTTAAAATTTATTTATATTTTTGTCTAAAGGTTCAATAAACAATTACACATTTTTAAAAAATGTATTATTTCACGTGTCAGGCTTGATATGATCATATTCTCACTGTCTTCCGTGATTAAGTGTTTACCTGAAGCCCAGGTAGCGGCAGAAGAAGTGTGAGAGCTGAGAGCTCCAGTCTTGAGCACACACCGTGTAAAGATGATCCTGGACCTGAAGTCTCAGTCGTTCAGCTGCAGTGACGTTCTCTTTGATTATATGCACTGAAACACAGCAGAGCATGTGATAGCATGCATGAACGGCGTGATTGGGTTTGTTATGGTTCAGATTGTTGGCTCACCACAGTCAGCTTCATCAGAGCCGTCAGCGCAGTCTTCTGCTCCGTCACACACACCTGAGCTGGACACACACACTCCTGTGCCGCACTGAAACTGACCGCTGGGACACGGATCTGCATATTGACCAGAGCTTATGTCATTTCTTAAGCCGGCTGCATGTGGTTATACTGATATAGTGCACAGCAGAAAGCATACCTGGCTGCCCGAGGTTAATGCCTGTGCTAAAGTTGGCTAGAAAGCCTCTGTTGTTGCCCGAGGCATCTGTGAAAAGCATGACTGTCATCTGAGAGCTTGTAGAAAACAGATCCGGGAAGGAACGATCCCCAGTTAGGACACCTTCAATGACCAAAACACACATTACTTTACATTCTGTGCAAATACACTAGTAAAAATCATTTTATAAAATGTGCAATATTATGGCATAGTGTGTGCATTTCATATCAGAGGTCAATGAAATATTACAATTATTAATAAAGTATGTGAATCTTTTTTTTCAGCAAAGATGCATTAAATTGGTCAAAAGTGAGAGTAAAGACATTTCTAATGTTGCCAAAGATTTCCGTTTCAAATAAACGCTGTTCTTTTGAACTTTCTGTTAATCTGTGAATCCCGAAAAATAAAATGTATCACAGTTTCCACAAAAATATATTTTTTAAACATTTGATAATAATCAGAAATGTTTCTTGAGCAGCAAATCAGCATATTAGAATGATTTCTGAAGATCATGTGACACTGAAGATGCTGAAAATTCAGCTTTGATCACAGAAATAAATTACAGTTTAATAGATATTCACATAGAAAACAGCTGTTTTGCATTTAAATATTATTTCACAATCTCTGCTGTATTTGTGGTCAAATGCATGCAGCCTTGATGAGCAGAAGAGACTTCTTTCAAAAACATAAAATCTTACCAACCAAACGTGTATATATATATATATATAGGTAGAGTTTTGTATTAAAACATTTATTAAAATCCTCCCATATTATCTGTAATATAAATGCATGCCTTAATAAATAAAACATTTGTAAATATATGCAAAATCACCTAGCAGCTCTGAGTAGGGCGTCGCTCCATCTCGAACTTCTAAAATGTCATAAGCCATCTCTAAAGCAACGTCTTGAAAATGCAGCTGGATATTCTGTCCTTCCTTAGCATGTAAAGTCCACATACCTCAACAAGATAATGACCAAAACATTAGAAACTGAAGCAGGCAGAGGTGCAGTTTCACATTATTTTTTAGAATCTTCCATAAATTGTTCTGCATTCTTAAGGATCATAATATAATGTGTCTAGGACTCACATGAAGCTTTGTGTCCGTAGCCGTTGGGGTAGTTTGGAGAGCTGAATGTCGAGTTGGGTTCATACAGGTCAAACGGTCCCCAACAATCCTCTGTGATGAATCATTCAAGCTCATCACATGAACGTGACTCCTTTGCAATCTCGTGCTAATATAAATGTCATGACTGCAGCAGGTATAATCGCTCACCTGGTATAGGAGGAGGAGTGATGGGAGGAGGGACCGGGGTCGGCTCCGGAGGGCCCACTCCACAAGAACCAGGTGCTACGCTGATATCATCCAGAGCAATGTCATTCAGAAACCCTGCCCTCTTCTGCGCCTCAAACACCAGCTGAGAGAACAACCAAACGGCCGTTAATGACCTTCTAAGCATCTTACGTTATGAAGTTTAAAGGGATAGTTCACCCAAAAATGAAAATTCTGTCATTAATCACTCACCCTCGTGTCGTTCCAAACCCGTAAGAGCTTCATTCATCTTCAGAACACAAATTAAGATATTTCTGATGAAATCCGAGAGCTCTCTGACCCTCCATAGACAGCAATGTAATTAACACGATCAAGGCTCAGAAACGTAGCAAGGACATCGTTAAAATAATCCATGTGACATCAGGGGTTCAACCGTACTTTTACGAAGCTATGAGAATACTTTTTGTGTGCAAAGAAAACAAAAATAATGACTTTATTCGACAATTTGTTTTTCAAACAACATATGCAACATATGTACGCGGATACGTTGTTTTACGTTCAAATCAAAGCATACATACGTTGCATACGTTGCATGCTCGTCCGCAAATTGTTGAATAAAGTCGTTATTTTTGTTTTCTTTGCTCACAAAAAGTATTCTCGAAGCTTCGTAAAATAAAGCAATAAGCCCCGTGAAGCCGTGGTTTACAGTGAATTTATAACAGCTAAGAGGCGTTGTTAGACCCCCTAAAACCCCCTTAGCTGTTATAAATTCACTGTAAACCACAGCT